TCCGCGATGGATCTCGAAACGTCAGGCGAATAAAAGTATTGTCCCAGCGATCATGTCGTCTTCTTCTCAAACCTGCTATTCATAATCAAAAAGGACTCGTCGTTTACAAGGAAAAGATTGAACTAAAATGAAAATTAAACAAAAAGATATTCACTGGACTGCCCGTGGCATGCCATGGTTAATATCTGCGGTTACATTTATCAGATTATTAGTATTTTTAGGAAATCAGATTACCAACTTTTGGGTGCTTATTCCTAGGCCTGGATGGTCCGAGATGTCAGCAGCTCTTTATAGTGTTCTTTTTTCCCAAGCAAAATAGAAAGTAAATTTTACTAGGATAAAAATATTTTGATTATTTTTAAGAATAAGTGGCGATTAATAATTAAATCTCAGAGAAAATCGCAGTTTCGATTTCTTAAAGATGTTTTTTTAAGTATACCATTCCCCGATGTACGAAAAAATCTGCATGAGCATGTAATCCGAGATCCAGGAACAAATCCTCGGAATTAAGACCCATAACGAGGTTAACAGCAGATTATTACGCTTAATTACATACAACCTACGCTGCCTATTATTTTCGAAATATGCTTATTAAAGGGAAGGAAAGCGGACTAGAATGAATTGTTTAATCAAAAAATCTACCTGGGAAATTACGTTTGAGATATTTAAAGTTTGAGTAGTTTGCCGGTGAGGTGCAACGCTAAAGCTCCACAAACGCACTGAATTTATATTCATCATTCCACTTTACTTGATATTAGCATGCCATGGCAATTCTCACGACCATTTTTAAGGTTTACGTCCGGACTCTCCATAAATCTGGATTACAGCTCATTTTACCGGCTCTTGCATGGCTCAAATTAGTGCTAACATGGTCGGCCAACCGTCCATAAACCATTGCCAATCCAGAAGACCATACCCTACCAAGCAAACGCTATAGTAATCAATTTGTCTATAGAGTATGTCTTCGACTGTCTTCACTGTCTAGACACCCACTTAGAAATACCAGCGAATCTTTTGGCCTAGAACTTAATTCAAACAAACCGATCCTTTCAGTTAGTAATAATTAAGTCAAGTATGGACCAGCATTTCCTGATCTGGCTCGAGTTTTTGGAAAGAGGGCTTCTAGCAAAATTCAATACAACCGCGGCTAAAAGATTTGTATGCGCTCTGAACAAAAATTTACAATGAACACAACTTTGTTTGTTGTGATGACTTTCTTTACATCTCTTGATTTGTTCCTTATTCTACCTGGCAGATCAAAATATTTTCTGTCCTGTATGTTGGTCTGACCCGCTAAACTCATCTCAACCTTTTTAGCGCCAGCTGAATTGCGTTTGCAAACGCATGCATACTGGAAATTTTGGTAAATTCTAATCCAAAAAGTCCTTTTTTCCCTTTTCGCCAGCTCCATGTGCTGCGACCAAATTTGGGAACTATGAATACCTCCGTTCTAACCGTTGGCGGTCAGCGCCGGATACTCACCTTAAAACCGGATCAGGTGGTGGATCAGCTTCGGCGCATGATGGGCGTCATGCAGCATCACGACGCCGTGACAGGCACGGAGAAACAGCATGTCGCGGATGACTATGCCGAGCGTCTGCAGGAGGCCGCCTACGGATGCGAACGACTTGTCGCCGCTGTCGCCAATGACTTTTTCGCGCCTGAGGT